TTGTGAGAGGTTCTATGGTCAAACCCAAGTAATATCAATATTGAGTTGTTCTAGAGACTTTCGCAAAAAAAATAAAAAAAATCTACAAAACAATCTTACAATCTAGTATTTACGATCAATGATTAAGAATAACAACGATTTATTTATAATACGATGGTGTTATATGTATCAATTAATATATTAATTAGTATATTAATATTAATTATGATATTATTATTGATCTCACTCAAATTACAAATATAAAAAAAATTCTTAAATTATGTCACATTATTAATTGGTACACTAATTAGTATACTAAGGTCTCGTTTGAGAACGGGTTTTTTAGTAATTTTTTGACTTTTTTGCTCAAATATGATGGAAAAAAAAACTAGTATGTTTCGAATGACTTTTTGAATTTTTACGAAAAGATATGAAAAAAGTAAAAGAGAAAATGAAATCTTTGATTTTTTGGTATAGATTGTTGGCTTTTTGAATTTTTTTAGTAACTTTTTAACTTTTTAACTAAAAACATCACTTGTCAAACAAGACCTAATTTATGCATATAGCATTATTCTTTATAATAATATATAGATCTAAATTTCTGAATATTTTCCTAATAACTTTTCTAGGTTGGGCTTCCGTTAAACTCAAGTTGCCCACAATGGTGTAGGAATGGCTATACTTCCGATCATTCATTAACTTTTTCATCAAACTTAAATTTGATAAAGAAAAAATAGTTAAATTTGTTCTCCAACCATTTTATTAAATTTGTATGAAATCAATGAAGAGATAAATTTTTTTACTAGATCAAGGATGAATCAAATCCTTCACAAAATTTTCAACATATTATATATTTACCAAGATTTGATGAGATTTTTAAACAATAATAATGATATATAAACAAAAAAATTTATACAGAATGATATAATTCAATGTGGATAACATTGCCATTTCAATTTAAAACAAACTGTCCACAAATATGACATTATCATATTATTCTTGTAGTATTTTGTGTATAAACTTTTTGTTCAATAGAAGTTTCTAATTTAAAAAATAGTAAGAATTGAAGATAGTTTTTTATTTTTATTTTCCATAAAAAATGGTTAAAACAACTTTTTAGGATAAGCTTGAAAGTTTTAAGAAATAATTGATTAAAAAAAAAAGAAAAGAAAAAATAGAATAAGAATTAGAGTGTTCCATATCAAAACAAACTTTTAACCAAAATTTTGGAAGACTTGTTGTCCAATAAATTCTATGATAATTAATAACGTTTTTCATCAAATATTAAAAAACGTTACTAATTGTTAATTTTTAAATACAATTTGAAAATTTTGTCATAAAAAATATCACTGAATTATAACTTTTAGCGACAGTTTTTTAAAAAAATTGTCACAAAAAAAAATGTCAGTAGTTTTCAACTTTCAGCGACAGTTTAAAAAATTTGTTACAAAAAAAAAATTACTAATTGTAAGTTTTAGTGACAATTTATAAAAATAGTAACAAAAAAAAGTTCCTAATTGTCAACTTTTATAGACATGCAAAAAAATTGCCACAAAAAATTATTTTTAGCCACGATTTTATTATGATTTATTTTCAATAGGATTTGATATGAATTAAGTTCGACTATTAAGACTTATTAGTAGTAACCCCAAAATTTATTCAAATTTTATTAAAAAAAAAAAGATAAGGTTTGAAGATGTTCTAAATAGGTCGGGTGATTTCTAATGTTAGAATTTTTTGGGTTGGTGAAACACAAAACAAAATAAAAAAATAAAAATAAAAATTGCTAAAAATAAAACCAAATTAAAAACAAAAACATTTCTAACTGGGAAGATTTTTCAAATCCAACATGATTGTTGAAGTTTTTCAAAAGGATTTTTGATAGTACAATTTGGTGACGGTGCAGTGTAGACCGGAGAAAATAAAGTGTAGATTGGAGATATAACGCGTAGTCAGAGAATATATAGTATAGATCGAAGACAATGGTGGTAGATCAATGACGATGGTGGTAGATCGGAGATAATGAAAGTGGTTGGTGACTGGTGGCAGTGGTGGCCAGCGGTGGATATAGTGGCGATGGCAGTGTGAGGTGATGGTGTGAGCTTCATAAATGGGTGGAAAAAAAAAAAAGAACAAAAGAAGAAGATGCGAGAAAAAGAGATGAGAGATGAGAGAGAGAGAGCAAAAAGATTTGGAAAATATTCGAGAGAGAAGATATTTAATGAGGAATAATGTTATATACACCAACTAGTGTACTAACTAGTGTATCAATTGATGATGTGACATAATTTAAGAGATTTTTGATATTGGGTCTGGCTTTGGTCCAGTCCACCATCAGACTGGACCGTGCTGTTGGGCCCGTGGGGACCCACCACGGGTCCCGTTTTGAAAATCTGAACGTTCAATGTGTAGACCTCGTCGAGTACTATATAGCTATAAAAAATCACATTGATCGGATATCGATAGCTATGTGATCAAAACAGTTTTTTTATTAACCGTTAATTTATTCACCGTCTATTTTTTTTATACAAAACTGATTTGATCACATAGCTATCGATATCCGATCAACTTGATTTTTCACAGGGTTATAGTACTCGATGAATTCTACACATTAAATGGTTTAGATTTTTAAAACAAGACCCGTGGTAAGCCTCCATGAGCCCAACAGCACGGTCTAGTCCGATGGTGGACTGGACCAAAACCAGACCCTTTGGTATTTGTAGTTTGTATAATGAGTGAATTCAATAATAATGTCATAACTGGTGTTGATACATTAATTAATATGCTAAGGCCTCGTTTGGGAACAGGCTAATTTATTAACTTTTTGACTAATTGGCTAAAAAGGTAGGTAAAAAAAATTTATATGTTTGGGATGACTTTTTGACTAATTACAAAAAACTGTGCAAAAAGTAGAGAGAAGCTGTAATTGTTGATTTTTTGGTATGGCTAATTGGCTAATTGGCTAATTTAGTAACTTTTTGGCTAATTGGCTAAAAAAGTAACATCCCAAACGAGGCCTAATTGATGTATATAACATCACCGTTTAATGAGAGTAATGTAAACAGTTGAATAGTCATTGGTGCATTTAAAAAGGTCAACAAGATAATTATGCTCACTATGCCTCTGTTTGGAAAGTGGGCTGACTTTTTGACTTTTTGGCTATTTTAGCCTGGTTTTGGAAGAACTTTTTGACTTTTTGGCTTTTTTGGCTTTTTTGTGAGAGAGGATTCTAATGATTATGGATTGGATTTGATGTTTTGTTTTTTGTGGCTAAAATACTCTATTTTATTTTTTGTGGCTATTTTAGCCAAAAAAGTCTGGCTTTTTTCTTCCCAAACGGAGCCTATGTTTAGCATAATGGGTTGAGGCTAAAATAGTTATAAAAAGACAAAATAGACTAAAAAATTAATAAGATAAAATATCACATTCAAATCATAATCATTTCATTTTTTATCTCACAAAAGTCAAAAAAATCAAAAAATCCATACCAGACAAGACTTTTTATCTCAAACTAAAATAATCAAAGAGCCAACTCACTTTCCAAATAAACACATTATAATATTGGCTCGTAAAAAACCCTAGATTTAATGGGCTTTATTATTTTATTCTTCATGTTTTGGGCTTCCAGCAGATTATTATTATTTTTCTTTTTGTTCTTTCATTTTTTTTGGATGTTTTTTTTCACAAACACAAACTAAAATGGACCTAATAATGGAAATAGCAATTGCACATAACCATACAACTCAAAATGCCGCAAGTACTAAGAGAGAGTGTCTAAAGTAATTAGGATTGAATTTATGTTGTTGTGAGAGAAGATTTGTCTAACAATAAAGAATTTAAGTAACTAGGTATTTATTGGGGACTTTTGATGCGAGGGTCAGGTAATTGCAAACAATTTAATTTCATATAATATAGGAAAAATTGATGAAACGACTATTTTATAGTTGTATATTGCATTAAATTCAATGATTAATTTGTTTTGATTATAAAACGTGACTAATTAAATATATTGGTGAGAAATATACATCATTATTTTGGAAGACTTTTTTCCCATTTTTGCTACTGTACTTTCTCTATATATACAGTCACTCTATATTCTCACACACTATTATTAATCGCCGCCCTCCACTGTTGGCCATCACCCGTGATTCATCGGGAAAGTGGCTAACAACCGGCGAGTGGACAATGGCAACACAGGTGAACACGTGGACGAATAAATAAGAGTAAAATTGTCTTCCAAATTGTTGTTTTCCTTTTGGGCAAAAAAGAAGAGAGTTTGAGGCAATTATCCCAAAATTTTCAAATTTGAATTTATGCCTAAGTGCCCTATTAACATACAACTCTCAGCTCGGGTGCCCGAAATCACTGCCAAGCCCAATCCAATCCTTTCATGGAACTGGAGACGGGCTGATTTCTTTATTTTGGTAGGAAAAACTGATGTGGGGAAAAACACATTCAGATAACCTGTCCCATCCCTAATACTATTCTCTATCCCCTGAATCTTTATTGATTTATGAACAACAATAAGATATAAATGGCCAGAAAAAAGGAAGCATGTAGAGAAACAAGTGAACTTGATGGAAGGAAAGACTGCCCTACATACACAGGACATAATGGTTCTGTGAATACATTTGGATGAAAATTTAGTGACTATTGGATGAACAAATCATACAAGAGCACAACAATGACAGTATCAACTGTGTTAGTACAGTGCCAATTGTGGAAGTGGTAATGTTGTGGCCTTCATATTCTTCCAACTTTAGTTATGAGGATTTCAAAATAACACCTCACTAATGGAGATTCTTAATATTATCAAATTTGCAATAACACCCCCCCTTCTAAAATGAGGATTCAAGAATCCCTCTCTTTTAACCCAAATCAGGATTTTTAAAATTTACATTTCTTAAATTCCCCGAGCCTCAAATCCTTTCCCAAGCTCATCATCCAAACAGACAAAATGATAGATAGCACAACAAAAGCTTAACACTACATAACATAACCAAAAGAAAAGCAAGTAAACATAGAGAAATATTCCACAATTTATTATTCTACATACAGTAGTTTTTAGTTGATTAACATACTGTCTTAAATAGATATATGCCTTCAAATAGATATCCACACCGTGATTCAACAAGTCCAACAAACATATTCCCTATGAGGAGGTAATAAAATAGTTCGATGTTCAGAACTTACAGCTCAATTGCCATCCGGTATCAGCAAAACAGATCCAGATGTTTTACGACTCTCAAGATCAGCATGCGCCTGTGCCGCCTGAGATAAAGGGTATGTATGATTTACACGGACTCGCAGTACACCAGATGCAACATTAGCGAAGACCTCTCCAGCAGCTTCTAGAAGCTCATCCCGTGTTGCAGTGTATTGCATAAGGCTAGGTCTTGTCAAGTACAGTGCTTTCGCTGCAAGTGCTGACAAAGGAAGGGGGTCAGGTGTGCCAGACGACTGCCCAAAATTCACCATGTATCCACGCGGTTTTAAGCATGCTAATGATCCCTGAAATTAATAAATTCTCAATTAGAGGCCTACTTAAACACAAAACATTAACGTCAATCTTGGGTATGTCAAGTTAAAAATAGTCAATCTTAGTTTGGTTGTGGTCAATTTTGACCGAATATTTATGCCATTGTGTTTTCTAGGTTGAGAAAACTTGATATATGTAAAATATTATCTTATAACCAAATCCAATCCTGCTCCTAAGTAAAACATAGAAATTCAAGTAAGATTGATTATGAATAGAGTAGAGAAGAAGCTTATAGTTGTGTCACGTCTAGGTTGCAAGTATTAGTTTGGGGACAACCTTAGGTTTCAGACTGGTCCTCAAGTTTATGCTTATGAACTTTTGGGTTGTGTTTGGATCATGGATTTGGGTAGAGATTTGAAAAAAGAAAGAAAAATGTGAGGAAAATATATGCTTTTTTTCTTTTTTTTTTTCGCTTGCCTTTTCTTTTTTCCTTTCCAAATCTCTACCCAAATTCATGATCCATACACAACCTTAAGAAAATCAACCTTAAGAAATTCACGACCATGACAAGACTTGAATCCTTGACGTCCCATAAGGAGCAAACTGATATACTGAAAACATCATTAGATGGTATTTATTCAAAAATTGAGTCACAGCCATTGCATTTTCCACTACCTATTATCAGCGAGTATTTTGGAGTTTTTGTTGGATGTCTGATAATTAGGATAGAAAACTGACCTGCAAGGTGTCTTTTCCAACAGAATCATAAACAACTTCTACCCCTTTGCCTGATGTTATTTCATTGACCCGGGTGACAAAATCCTCTTCCTTGTACATTATCACATGGTGACATCCATCTTCTTTGGCTTGTGCTGCCTTCTCTTTGGTTGAGACGGTTCCAATGACAGTGGCACCAAGTGCGTTAGCCCACTGGCATAAGAGAGACCCAACTCCACCAGCTGCTGCATGAACAAGGACAGTGTGTCCAGGTTCAACCTGTAATACTAAGCAATCTAGTCATATCCTACACAACATGAAAAATCAAGGCTCCAATTGTTCACCAAAAAAAAAACAAAAATTCATGAGAGAATTGGAGGAATTGTTCCAATTTGATCATGACACAGTCCTTCTAACTTAAACCTGAACAGTCAGAAGCAAAAAAAATAGAACAACGGTTATAACAACAACAACAATAATTAATGTGGTAGTTCCCCTTACCTGGAGCTTACTTGCATGAAGTGGGCGGGGGAGCGAGAGCATATAAAAGTTTCTAAGGTTGGAAGCACAGATCATGTTTATGAGGAAGAATATGTTACATCCGTAGATATGCAACTCTAAAAGTAATATGCAGTCGAAGCGTTCATCATCAGAGAGTATATCATGAAATGCACAAGCACTAACAGAGTGCATTTGTGCACATTGATGTAATGCTGCTTTGAATTCATGTTGAATATTTGCATATTGACTAGTGAGTGTTATAGAACATGTCATGAAGGATATACATATATATATAGACAAACATGTCCTTTCAATCAAAAGATAATTTTTAATCATCTTTCTCATCTCTCCACATGTCCCAGCAAGAAAAAAAAGTTTAGATCTCTCTTTGCAAGTTCTTCTTCCTTCCCCTCCATCTATGTAGAATTTGAAACAAAGTCATCCGTCGAATAATCTAAGGACACAACATTGGTTGAAAAGGTCATATATGATGCTATAAATGCAGACTTACTGACATTTAACAAAGAGTTTGGTTTTGTTGATTCCTTCAATAGGATTATTCAAAACAGGTACCTCTCCTTTCGGAAACAGTTTTTCATCAGCAATGAAGAAGGCTTAAACGAAGCCTTTTGGTAAAAAATGGGTTCTTTAATGGATATGGCAATGTTTAATTAGTTCGCTGAATGTAAGCAAAATTTGGCAAACCAAGATAGTCCCCCTAATGCTCGTCAGTTCTAATCCTCACTGTCATGTTGGTTTTGGACAAACAAGATAGTCATCCCAAGTCTTATTGATCACAAAAATCATTGTTTGTTAATTAAAAATTACAGGCCTCATCTGCCTGTGTGTTTGTGGAAAAGGAATCCTCTTTTCTTGGCCTGACTTGAGAAGAGTGATGATGAAGATGGAAAAAAGACTATAGTTCGATAATATTTGTTTTTTTTCCTTACATGGCATAAGTGGGTGTGGGCATAGTTTGGAGTCGGAATAACACTGACTACCCTACAGAGGATGAATTTAAAGCCCAAATAATGTGAATAGTCATTTAGAATAAAAAAATAAAATAAAACATGATAACCCATATTATAAGTTATTTTAAACTTGCAAAAGTCAAGATAGTGCCACGTGAAAATATAAATTACCTTAAAGCAACGGCGAACTAGGAATTGAGCTGTCATTCCCTTGAGGATGACAGATGCTGCTATAGTAGGATCAATGGAGGAAGGAACAGTTACTACTTTCTCCGCCGGAAGGATCTGCTCCTCAGTATATGAACCCATTGGATTACCAGCATAAGCCACGACATCTCCAACTTTTCTACCGGTTAGTCCAGGGCCCACAGCTGTCACCACACCAGCTGCCTCCATACCTGCAATTGACCAAATGGTGGAACATTTAACCAAATGGCATATTCCCAAGAGACATAAACAAACAACATTGGATCACAAGGAAACATTTTCTTTGTCTGAGCAAGTAATGTCACCTTAGCAGAAATTTCCTGTTACAAAGGATTAAACTTTTACCTTGAATGCATGTATTATCCACAGTTTAGATAAAATTCTCGTACAAATAACAATACACGAGAATATGAATTTTAGTTTTGAAGGTTTCTAATAGAGAGAAGTTTATGTTATTTAAGCTGGTCAGGGGTCACCATCACCGAAAACATATTCCTCCTAAATATTTCTAGAAAGTCATGAGCGGAAGTCCCAATGTGTAATTCCTGCTTTTCAGGAGGGCCACAAAGTCCGTCTCCGAGGTTGCAAAAGACTTATTACTATGAGAATGAATTTGCAAACACTAAATATTCTAGCAAACAATTCCCGAGATTAGGGACCTTATTCTTGCTGAGTTCCTGTCTTCTATTTGTTTTAAAATATTTCAATTTTGTTCTTTCCATTTCTTGCAACAATAATCATCGTTGGAAAATTTCTTCAATACATAATGGGATAGATCAAAAAAAAATCATAAAGTCTGTTACACGGACTCTTCAACATAAATCAAATACCCATGTCGAACACCCGACACTCGGACAAGAGTATGAGATATATGTTGGATACTTTTTAACGGATACTTCTTATATAATTGTATATATCACTATTATTATATGTACATATTATTTTATAATTGCTATAAATATTTTTTTAACCCTGCAAGTTACATATAGCACCATTTTATCTCACATACTTGATTAAAAATATAAAACTATGACATTTTTTTTTTGCCGAATCCGCGTACTCTTAAATTATGGTTTGATGAATCTGACCTCTAGATATATACCTGCACCCGACACTCATACCCGAGTCCATGCAACATTGCATAAAGTAAAATGTTATTATATATCTATACAATCAGCTAACAACGCGTTGCAAAAGCTGCACTTGCAGTGATGAGCACTGATAATCAAACATGTGAAATCATTCATTTTTACGTACATGTATTGTATGTATATTATATATATAAGAAATAAAGCCAAACCTGGAGTAAAGGGTATTGTCGAGGCCTTATAAACTCCTTTCCGGAAGTAAACATCAATGAAGTTGAGCCCAATGGCCTTGTTTTTCACTCGGATTTCACCCTCCTTCGGCTCTCCTATTTCCACGTCTTCCCACTTCAGAACCTATCATCATATTGATTCCGAAGTGAGTAAAAAACATGGCCCAATTTGTCATCGCAAACACCCCTTTCACCCAAATAAATGGTGTTCCGCGACAAATTACGCTGCAATCAAAACATAACTGATGCAAAACTAAATTTGGCATGTACAGAAAATGCAATTCAAGCAAAACCAATATGAAATTGGATTTTCACGAGTGTAGAATCATGCTAAGGTACAATTCATATGTATATATATATATATATATTAAGTGTGAATGGTAAGGACTATGATTGAAAAAAAGTGTCAAATAGGTCCAAGTGGTGATGATGATGAAGAAAAACGAAATATTCTTTAACCGAATGACTTAATTAAACGAACTCGAATATAGAAAATCACAAGTACACATAGGAACTGTTAAAAAATTTATAATTAAAAAAAGAAAAGAAAAGAAAAGACAGCAAATTGAAATAGGATGATGAGGCAATTCAAAATCTGTGTTAATCCGCATAAATTATTAATTAAACAAACCCAATTGAAGCATCATTGAAAACGATAAACTAACTAGAAAACGAACACTAATAATAGCTTTTATGAATTTCAATTTCAAAGAATGGTGTGCAAGAAAGTACCAAACACCGTACAAGATAATCAAACCACATAACAAAGCTGAAAATTTCAAAAAAATGAAATTGGGTAGATCATACGGCATCGGATGAAATCATTTGGATTTGATCCCAATTGACGAAACCTGAACTGGGTAATCAAGAAATTAGCCCAAAAGACTCAAAAACACAAACAATTGACAATATTACAAGAGGGAGAGACAGAGAGAGAGAGAGAGAGAGAGAAACCTCAGGACCACCAAGTTCATGAACCCTAATGGCTTTGACCATGGTTGCTTTGGTAGTGGAGAGTGTGGACAAGGAGTGAAAGCTTTGGTTCTTCTTAGTGGAGGTGGTGTGGTTGTGGGTAATTTGAAGGTGTACAAGGGAGTGACTGCGCAAGAGAAGACCAGAGAGAAATGGTTTTTTTGGTAGAAGTTTGGGGTAGTGACAATACGAATAATGTTATAGAGCACTCAATTGGGAGCTCTAGAGCATCACTAATAATATGGCACAGTGACCCTCACCAAAGTGATGTGATGTTTTGACTTGAGTTTGTTTTTTTATTTTTTTTTTAAGCTCATTAGAAGTATTAATGGTCTAAAAATTAGTGAGATGAATCACCACTCGTGACAATACTGACGATGATGATGATGCAATTTTAACCTCAATAAACCCATTTGTTTTTTTTTTAATCCAAGTCAAGTTCTCATCTTTTGAGAGATGAATGGGGATGGGAAAACGGAAAAGGTGAGAGGGCCGCGTTTGCTTGCTCAAATGTTAAGGAATACCGTAAACTCATGTTTGTTTGGGCGGACTGGATTAGTATTTTCATGACTAATAATTTTGGGATTACAAATTCGTTGAATTATGTATTTTATCTTAACTAAAAGTCAAGTTTAAAATAATTAGTCTGTACTTCAATCGTTTAACCAAACATCGGATTAATAATTTTATTGGACTATTAGTCCAATCCCAAGCTCATGTCCACCCAAACAAACATGAACTAAAATTACTACAGCCTTTTTGGACACGAGGGTAAAAGGAGGTTTTGGTTTTTAATAATTCTACTTTTTTATTTTTCATATTTTTTTATTTTTATAGAATTTTTTTAATATTTTAAGCATTTTTTTTAATTTTTAGACACACTTAATATAAATACACATAAAAAGTATAATTTTTGTGAAAAAAATCTTTTAAAAATTCAATAAATACCAAAAGTACAAAAAAAAAAAAATTTAGTATGTTTTTCGTATCTTTATGTATTTGTTAATTTTTTAAAATATTTTTTCACAATTTTTTTACTTTTTAGATACATCTAAATAAAGTACATCTAAAAAAGTAAAAAAAAATACTTAAAATTTTAAAAATATTCACTAAAAACAAAAAAAAAACACGAAAAATAAAAATCTCAATTTTCAAAAAACTTAATACAAAAAACTCAAACCAAATACACTGATTTTTTTTCAAAAAACTCATTTGTTTACTTTTTACATTTTTTTTAAAATCAAAAAATTTGCTTTTGGTTTATTTTTTAAAATTTAATTATGTTTTTAAATTATGATTCAGATGAAACATGTTAGCTAACTATATTTTTAAAATACAATTCAAAATTACTTTTAAAACTCTTCTCCTCTCTTTTTTTTATTATTATTCTTTTAATCAATCATTTTTTCTCTTTCATCTCTCATCTCTCATCTCTCCTCTCATATTCTCTCACATTTTATACAACGATTAATCAAAAAGAATTAAAAAATTACAAATTATCCTAAAACTATTTTCAAAATTCATAACCAAACAAATTTTCTTTTTTCAAAACATGATGCAAAAACTCAAAATTCAAAACTTTAAACACAATTTCACACTTAAATCATAATTCTAAAATAAAACCAATTACTAGATAGTTCAAAAACCAACATCTCACTATTTTTTTTTCTATTTAATTTTAAATTTGAGTAAAAATTTCAATTTAATATAAATTATTTTAATTTTTTATCAATTTTTTATTAAAATATTTTTTAAAATTCTCCTCTTATCTCAATTTTTAATAACCAAAATAACAATTGCGATAGATCATAACTAACATAATTAAAACATAATGAATTATAACCAAATTTGTTCTGTGTGTAGCAAAAAAAAATTATAAAAATATAAAAGAAATTATATATTTTAATAATTAAAATAATATTTTTTTCATGTTTTTATATATATATTTTTTTCACTAATGCAGTTATTTCTCTAAAAAAAATTATCTTCAATACTTTATCTTGTTAAATTCAGGCGAATTACACTAACAGTTCCTATACTTTGGGATTTGTATCACTACTTTTTAATTGTGACACATTTGACCTTAAATTTTGAATCTTGTTCCAAATAAAGACAATTGAAAATATCATTGCTTAATTTCAATGGCAAAATCATCAATCTAATAAAATATAAACTAATTTGACAAAAATAAATGTCAAAAAATTATTTTTGAATTTTTAAAAATTATTTTATCCATTAAAGATAAAATTATGTAAAATTGATAAATCTTTTAGACTTTTATTTATTTATTTATTTTACTAAATTAATTTTTATTATATGTTTAGATGATGATAATGTAATGAGTGATTGTTTTTATTTTCATTAAATTAGTTTTTATTTTTTCAAAATTCAAATATGGCAACAATTTTGATATCATTATTAAACTAATCCATTAAATCAAAAAATTCAAAACTAAAAGCATTTCATATATTAAATATATTAATTACACATTAAAATCTTAACAACCACCAATTACATAATCATCATCTAAACACATAATAAAAATTAATTTGGTAAAAAAAATAAGTAAATAAATGTCTAAAAGATTTATCAATTTTACATAATTTTATCTTTAGTGTGTAGAAATAATTTTTAAAAATTTAAAAATATTTTTTGACATTTATTTCTGTTAAATTAGTTTATATTTTATCAAATTAACAATTTTGCCTTTGAATTTAAACAATAGTATCTTCAATTATCCTTATTTGAAACAAGATTCAAAATGCAGGGTCAAATATATCACAATTGAAAAGTCATAAACCAAAGTGATACGACTTCCAAACTATAGGGACTGTCAGTATAATTTACCCTTTAAATTCTTAATTTTATGAGAAAAGTGACTCTCTCTTGATTTAATGAAATGAGTATAAATAATTTTTAAATATTTTTTTATCAAATTTAAATTTAATAAAAAAATGAAAAATTAGAGATTATTTAAGTTACGCGTATTTGCTAGTACAAGTTTTTATTAATCAAACTGACAGATGCTTTTTTGAAAATTGACTATTTAAATTCGTTTTTGATTTTTTTTTTTTTTAAAAAAAAAACTTGTACAAAAGTATAGAAAATAATGCGATTGAATGTTTTGAATTTTTTGCCAATTTAGCTAAAAACCTTCACCCCAAACTGACCATATTACAAAAACAAAATAATAATAATATAACAAATAAAATATTGTAAAGTATCGTTTGACAACATTACTTTTTAATTTAAAAGTCAAAAAATTACTATAAAAAAAAAAGCCAACAAATTAGATTAAAAAGTCAAAGATTTCATTTTTCTCTACTTTTTGTATATCTTTTTCATAAAAAATTAAAAAGTCATCACAAACATAGTAATTTTTTTTATATCATATTTTTGTAAAAAATTCAAAAAGTTACTAAAAAAATTTATTCCCAAACGAGGCCTAAGTAGTTTTATAAGGTGGTGTTTGATAAAACTAAAAATTAAAAATTAATATTTGAAAATTGAATGGCAATTTTTTAAACTGAAAATATATTTGATAAATATTTAAGTAATGAACTAAAAATAAATTGTTTGATATTATAAGATCAAATTTGAAATTTATTATATTTAAATTGTATATTTCAATTTTTATATTGTGATAATGGTGGTGATGGTATCACAATAATAATGGTGGTGGTGGTGGTAGCACTAGCAGTAGCGATTATAGTGACAGTAAAATGATGATGGTACTTATAATAGCAATGACAATAGTAAAGAAAATGCTAGTGGTAGTGACATGATGGTGATGGTGGTAGTAATGGCGGTAGTGGTGGCGGTGGCATGGTAGTGGTGATAGTAATAGTGATAGTGATAGTGGTAAAGACGGTAATGGTAGTAAAATGATTGTAAATAGTGGGGTTAACGGTAGCAATAGTAGTAGTGGTGGCGGTAGTAATAGCAACGGTAGCATGATAATAGTCGTGGTGGTGGTGAGCATTTTTAAGTAAAATTTTTTAGTATTTATAAATTTAGTTATAATTAAGTAAATTTCATATGACTTAGGTCTTGTTTGGGAAAATATTATTTTAGTAACTTTGTGGCTTTATATGAAAAATATGCAGAAAAATAGAGAGAGTGATGTGACAACTTATAGTGACTTTTTGATTAAAATATATTGACAAACGAGACCTTAATTATTTTTTTTTATGTAAATTTTTTGCCTATATTTTAAGAGACTCTTAAATTCTTAAGTAATCTCAATTATGATTATTAAACGGGCTTAAGTGATTATTGTTTAATACATTCAATTTACGTATTGAATCAGATTATCAAACACTCTTTAAATTACCACCAAATAATATGTTTTTCTGTCGTATTGGAGTGATGCTCATGTAGTGGTTGTCATTTTGTCTATCAAAATAGAATATTAAAGTGATAGGTCTTATTATTTTAATCAATAAAATATATGATTAGTTTTTTTTCAAGTTCATGGATGCACAAGATTTCATTTTAATAATTTAAATTATTTATCTTATAAGATTATTATTATTCATAAAAAAAATTAAATCAATCTGATAATTAAAAGAAAAAATTGGTGATAAATCCAACTTAAGGAGTGTGTAAAGTATTAGGTCCAATAAATATTTTTTATTGGTGAAAAGTCTACACTTTGTGAAATAGTTTGGTAAAACATCCGAGAAGACATTTTGTTTCTAATTTTATCCATTGATTTTTTTATCTGTTTGACTTTTCGTTGACTATATGTTCAAATTTATATCTATCTGTTCAAATTTTTTAACTATTTGTTCAATTTTTTCCCCTATATGTTCAATTTTTCTCCTAAATTATATCTATCTGTTCAAATTTTCCCTTTAATTCTATCTATCTATTCAATTTTTCCTCTAAATTCTATCTGTTTGTTCAATTTTTTTTTCTATTTGTTAAAAATGTGTGCCAACTTTTTTGTTTATCTATTGCCATCAACATCAATTTTTTTTTCCAGGTCTGTGTCATACATACATACACTCACTGTTGGAAATAATGGTTTTATAGGCTTATGTGGAGATGTGATTTGGAAATACTCTTGGATCCTGTAGGACGTTTCTGATCCTCTGATTGCCACCTGAAAAAGGATGAACACTCCAGTCGGTGGTGCCGGAATTAGCACTCTGACGGACAAGTTAATATATGCTCTCTCGTTAGCTTCTATCTCAAGTTTATTTTATCTATTCTAACATACCTCTCTTTGGTTGATGTCCTTCTTATTTATACTCGTTTATGGTCCCAGGGTTCGGGCCCACTTTTAATCTAGCACACAACTGCTCATTCGGCCTTTCTGTCGTATGTCAATTCCTACTCGGCTTCTTGTACGATTAATTCAATGGCCGATTTAAATATTTAGCTTCAGGGACCCCCAAGACGGAGCCGAATAGCATTTGTCCTG